CCGAAAGCGTATGCACCAAGACAAATTCTTTGTGTGTCCAATCTCACTTGGTCAATTAAGAATTCTATTCTATTCTATTTTATATTTCATATCAGCTAAAAACATCCTGGAAGCAGGCAGTAACAAACTATTTCCAGAGCACTAAAACAAGAAAAATCTTGTCATTCAACAGCTATTGATTTTTACTTATGCTGAGCAATTTTTTTAATCATCATGTTTCAGATAACTATGTAACTACAACTTGCAATTGATCCAAATTATTCTTCTCATGTACTTCACCATTTTTCTAAAGCAATTACATATCTGAACCAAAACCTTTCTGAATTTATATCCCTGAATGATTTTTCTATGACTGAGTCTAAACATAAATTTAAGTATCATTGGGAAGATACCTAGCCAGGTCATTCCATGCATTCAAATTAGTTTCTTGAAAGGTACTTTAATGGTCCTTCTAGGACAGTGATGGCTAACCTTTTTGCCATCACGTGCCAAAAACGGGGGTCATGCAGGGGGGGTCGTGTGTGTGTGTGCCCACACCCATAATTCTAATGCGCCCCGTGCCCCACCCCCGTGCATGCATGTGCGACCCCACTCCACGCTCCCCCCGCTTTTGGCACGTGATGGCACAGTGGGCTCGGTAGGCCCGTTCTTTTGCTCTCCTCAGGCTCCCATTTGCCGACTTCCAGTCCCACCAAAGGGCCTCTGGGAGGGCGGGGGGAAGGCCGTTTTTGCCCTCCCCAGACTTCTAGAGAGGCTCTAGAGCCTGGGGAGAGTAAAAAATGGGCCTTCTCCACCCCCCAAGCCCTCCAGAGGCAGGAAGCAGCCTGTTTTCCTACTTCCAGGTGGCCCAGAAGGCCTGAAAATGTGTGCACCAGAGCTGAGCTCGCGTGCCCACCGATATGGCTCTGCGTGCCACCTGTGGCAGCGTGCCATAGGTTCGCCATCACGGTTCTAGGATATCCTATTAGATAAGCATGGTTCTTCTTCAAGACATTGGTGGAAAACAAAGGCCAGAGTTTTCTAAAGATACTCCCTATAAACATAATTAAGGAATAAGGATTATATGTTTAGGCTGTTGAATCTAATATGCTTTTAGTAATAAGTAACAGAACAAATTATTCTATTTTAAACAAGACCTGGTACTTTTAGATACACACTTCTGGGAATACTGTAGAAGATGGTAATAATCATTTTGCCTAACCTGGAGAAATGTACACCCACCCTTATGAACCTTGCATATATTTCAAGGACAAGGCTTGGATAGATAAATAACTTTATCGCAAACACAAGAAATCATAGTATGAGAAAGGAACGCTTCTACAAAGGATTAAATTTTGGCTTTCCAGGAAGCCTTGAGATCTGATGTGGGAGTTTGGATCTCCACCTGCAGTATGGGGATTTTGGTCCTTTCTCAAGCTCTTTTACAATGGACTACAAATGGTCCTCAAGTTATGATTGTAATGGAACCTGCCCATCATGGATGTAACTCATGATGGTCATAAAGCAAGTCTGTCATGTGACCAACCTGATTTTACCACCTTTTTTGCAGCAGTCATTGAGCAAACCACCACAATTGTTAAGTGAATGTTATGGTGGTTAAGCAGACCAAGGGCTTGTTATGGGCATGTTTTTTCTGAAAATTTGAAGTATATGCTTGTTTTCGGCAAAACTGTCATAAAATACAATCACATGACCATTGGACACTGCAAATGGCCATAAATGCATCCTGGCTGCTGAGCGCCCGAAGCTTGTTCACATGACCATGGAAGAAGAAACCATCAGAACTTTGAATCTGTGTTGCAAGTACCCTCTAAGTACCTTAGAACTTCAAACGGTTGCTAAGTAACCAGTCATAAATTGAGGACTATCTGCCCTTGCATCCTATTTTTCACACTACTGCTCTGGACAACATTTACAAAATAGTTATGTCTTGTTCTTCTCCAAGCCTCACATTACCCATGAACCTGCAACATGTACATTATTGCTTACTTTTTAAACAGGGGAAAAAAATCAGGAAATGTACTTTTTTATCTCTAAACACGCAGAAAAAAAATGATTAACTGTCAAATCACAGCAGAGGTAGCAAGGTTGACATGGATTCTGACGGCCCCTTCAAAATTAATCAATTTTTAGGATTATCAAACTTGTCTACTTTATTACATAGAAAAATGAATGGTGGCAGCATACCAATCTTCGAAATATACAACAAAGTTATGGCAGAGTATATTCTGTCTCACAAGGGTAGGCAGTGTAGACCCACTACTTCTCCCCAATTGTCTCACAAATATTATCCAAACTATTTTAAATGTTGATTTTACAATTTGTGACTTTGTGTTGTTCTTGATAAAAGTATATTTACAATCTTTGTTGTAGTTAGCAAATAGCTAAATGTTTATGTGGAGATTCTCAATCATCCAGGTCATGGTTATCCCAAATGTGCTTTTTCAAATGGCAATTGGACTTTCTTGGTTTTGCATGAAGACATTTCACTTCTCATCCCTAGGCTTCCTGAAAAAGCACCTTTGGGATAGTTAACAAACAGGTTACTTGCATTTGAGTTTTAAGTCAAGGTTAGTGTTACATAGAGGTTTTGACACACCGGCACTCTGCATGTGTTTATTTTGATGTTAAATGTTTTGCTTAGACATATATCCAAACATTGGCTGTCAGATTATACTGGTCATGATATCCAGTTGAAAGAAGTTAGCAAAGGGAAAAGTTAACAAAATACCTTAGTATATTTCGGGTGCCTCTGCCACTGAACAGAAATGGTGACCTGTGTTTTCCTCTATTAGTTAAACTAAGTGAGAAACCTAGCTCTCAAATTATAACACCACCAGTAAACTCAAGAGAAGATAATTTGTCGGGCTGCTTTCCAAAAGATCATGAACTTCAGAGTGCCAGAATACTGTTAAAACAGTTCTTAACTATCCAGTTTAGTTTTCAGCAGCTTTTTATTTCCTTTTCAGTGGTCAGGAACTTCTTATCTTTGTTTGAGTTGTAAAAAGGTATATGAACATTTAGTAGCATTTTTGAAGGACAGCTTAGACATGAAGCTCTTTGAATCTGCTTTGAGACCCTCTGTGGCTTCATAGACCTAGAAATTTCTTCATAGGCCTTTCTTTCAAATCCCCATTATGTTTGAAGTCTTGTCCCATTACATCACAGTCACACTGGTTTCACTGACTTCATAAGGCATGTGGTATATTATATCCAATGAAATGCCTTGTTGCTTCATCCAATCACAGGTATGTTCTAATTTGTGTAAGTCTATTAAGGAGGACTGTACCTTCATTATTCTTTAGTCCCCCCCCCTTTTTTTGCCATCAAACTGTCAGAAGCTCAATTAGTGCTTCAATGTATTATGTCCAGTACTATACAAATGTATCCCTAAAAAAATTCTATTCCATTGTCATTTAGCATGGCAGAAGAGGAAGCTTTGAAATATAACTATATAAGCAAAATGCCATGTAGATTCTGAGCTCAGAGTTGATAATTATCTTTTAATGAAAACAACATTCCAGAAGCAGCTATGCCTAATAAATATCATTCTCATGGTTGAGGTTTCTGAACTACTTGCTCAAGGCAGGATGATGATTATCTGTATTGGTATCAACACTCTTTCCCCCCAAAGTACACAGGGTCAGTTTATTTGAACAATGGCAATTTGGTACCCTTGAATATCAAAGTACTGTAGAAATTCTGCATTTTCAAAAGAGGGAGTTAGGGTGTCTTCTCTACTTTTAGTTGATATAGCTGTCTCCTTGGTGTCATTTTGTTTCTGTCTCCATTGCAATTTCTAGCTTCTAATAGGATTAGATAGTGCCAATTTGCCTTTGAGCATTCCCCTATATAAGATCTATATAACCTTAGTTCTTGCTCTTTTGTTTCTTTGTGTATGTAAGAGACCAGTGACTCATTAGAACATGCTTCCTTTGTAAAGTAAAGTAAAAAAAATATTGGTTTCTCTTCAGCTATTGGTCTTATTGGGTGAAATTTCCATCACAGTTGTCATACAGATAACATTTACATTATACTGGTGATTTAGTATATTTTCAGGTCAGCAACATCCTGCCTTCTCACTCTCAACAAAGAAATTGGATATTTGTAGTAGGAAATTGAACAACCACCATAAAGTACATGGTTCCTGTTCTTAAACAATGCATAATTGCATATGGAGATCTAACTTTTAAAATTGCTACTGAATGCAAGCCTCTTGGGCTAACATGTGTATAAGAATAAAGGCAACCAATAGACTATACATTTTCTTGAATATAGTAATTACATTTTATTCAAAATATATATATATATACATATATATATATATAAATACATTTTTAAATTAGCAAAACATTAACATAAATTAAAATAAATTAATAAATAAAATAAATAAATAAAAATAAATAAAAAACAGTAGTTAATTTTTCTCATTTTCACCATCTGTTTTAGATGGAATTCCAAAAATGACTATTGTAATCCTCAATTTACAACCATTTGTTTAGTAACTGTTTAAAGTTACAACAGCAATGAAAAATGTGACTTATGACCAGTTTTAACACTTACGACTGTTGTAGCATCCTCATGGTCACATGATCAAAATTCAGGCACTTGTCAACTGGCATATATTTATGACAGTTGCACTGTCCCAAGGTCTTGTGATCACCATATGTAACCTTTCCAGCTGGTTTCCAACAAAGTCAATGCCAGATCCGTTTAAAGATTACATGTTTCACATAACAACTGTAGGGATTTGATTAACAACTGAAGCAAAAATGGTCATTGCTTAACAATGGAAATTTTGGGCTCAATTGTGGTTGTAAGTGAAGGAGTACCTGTAAATTATCATCCTAAAACAATATAAAAGCCATTCTAAATTGTTAGGAATTTAACAATTGTAGCTGGAGTTCTTCAAAATCCAAAACTGAAAATATCAAACTCCAATTTCCAAAATCACATTGGATGTTCTTAATATTGTCATAAAGCAAACAAGCTAAACAGAATCAAAGGTAATGTTTTATTTCACACACCTTAAACTCAATCTTTAACAAGATGATCAAGATCGAAAATAATCATTTGTCCCCAGATTGAGCTTTTGAGCCTTTATGAATTCCTGCAGGTACTTCTGGACAGATGGCTTCATTAGGAGAATTGATAGCAGAAGATGCTTCATTCGATAGCTGAATACCGAATGGTTCTACTGTAGCTGTAATCCTTTCCACATTTCCAAGCATGTTCCATTTACACACAGGACACGTTTGGTGCTTTAAAAGCCAAGGATCCACACAGATTTTGTGGAAAAGATGCCCACAACGTAAAATACGGGCTATATCTTTAGGCTTGTACATTTCTAAACACACTGCACAGTTGTCTCCATTTGATCCAACTTCTTTGTCATCCTCTTTCAATGTACGAAGCTCAAGACGATTGATGGCTTTAGTAATATCAAGCTCCTGCTGGCATCTCTGTATCAAATTCCTTGTTCTCCGTAGCTTTCCAGCACAATAAAAGGTGCAATATGCCACAGCTACAGAGGAAAGAATAAAAATGGTGCCCATGTAACGGGTTAACCATGGGTTACAGTGCTTTCCAACATCAATGGTTGCCATCACTTGGATGCCATTCTGAATTAGATGCAGAAGGTCCGTGCCTTTCAGATTGCCAATCATAACAGCCACAGGGCCTTCCTTCCCAAAGTTAAGCATGGGAAACACATTGTTACCCGTACCAGGATAATTATAGATGATCACACCAATTGCTCCCTTTTCTTCAGCCACACTTATTTTTTTTGTAAATGAACAATGCCCTCTTATGATGAGTGCTATCCAGCATCCTGCATTTCCTGATTTAAAATTTGTTACAGAACTACAAGCATTTTGATGGGGCTCCTCTGCAGCTATTACGATGCCGGACACCTTCTTCAAGGGCGAGGCTTTGGCAAACACTCCATTTTCTGCAATCTCCCATACAGTCCGATTCCCAACTTGAAATGATATGTTAATATTGGCAATCCAAAAGCTGTCAGCATGTGAACTCTGCAGGTGAAGCCCAAGGCAGATGCCAAGGTATAGAAAGCACAATGGTTTTACCCTTTTTCTTTCAGTAGCAGCAGCCCCAAATAAGTTCATGCTGACATCTGTTAAGCAGTTCCAGAGTCAACAACTCAAAGACAACAAAAATCATCAGCACATCAGGACTGAATGATATTTCCAGCAACATACCAAAAACCCATCTCAAAAATTCTGGAGAAAAATGCTGAAGGGTCTGTCTGCAAGTATGTTGCTTAGATAAAGATTTCTTACAGACAGTGAGAGATTTTTTCTCTCTCCCTCCAATGAAGTCATTTATTGTTAAGTAATGAAATTGTGACATCATTAACACTTTGCCAAGCAGGACTCTTGTGCTTTATCTTATATAAAATTACACTGTTTAAAAACAAATAAACTTTTTGATATAAACACCATTTTCACAAACTACAAGGTAAACAATTCATGGACCCACTCACACGGGAGGACACACTCTGGACTTGATTTTTGTCTCTGGACAGTGGATGAATGATCTTGAGATAGGGGAGTTAGTGACTGAGCCCTTGATCATTCCCTTCTTAGGCTTGACTTTCTAACCGCCACACCCCGCCGCAGGGAGGCAGAACAGACCAGATGGTTCCGCTCCAGGCGCCTGATGGATCCTGATAGGTTCCAGATGGAGCTTGGACCATTTCCTGAGGCTCTGACTCATGGCTCGGCTGAGGAGCTGGTGGCCGCCTGGGATAGGGCAGCTGCTGACGCTTTGGACCGAGTCGTGCCTGTGCGGCCTCTGACCTGTCGCCAAGTCTACTTGGCTCCTTGATTCTCCGAGGAGCTGAGGGAGATGAAGCGCCAGAAAAGATGCCTAGAGAGCAGTTGGAGATCTAGTCGCTCCGAACCCAACCGAACACTGGTAAGATCTCATATTAAAACTTACCTAGTGGCGATAAAAGCGGCAAAATGTAACTATTTTTCTGCTTTTATCGCATCGGCAGATAATCGCCCGGCCGCCCTGTTTAGGGTGACCCGCTCCCTCCTCCATCTGGGAGCGCGGGAGGATCCCTTGCAGGGTCGTGCTGAGGATTTTGTTCAGTATCTGCACGATAAAATCACTCAGATTCGGGAAGGCTTAGTCTCTGACTGGGTAGGTACAGACGGATGATGGGTGCCGGTCTTGAGACTGTCATTTGGGAGGAGTTCGATCCTGTTGCTCCCGAGGACGTGGACAGGATACTCAGGCGGCTGAACGTGACCACATGTTTATTGGACCTGTGTCCCTCCTGGTTGGTGCTGGCTTCCGGGAGGTTACACGACGCTGGCTCCAGGGGATTATCAACGCTTCCTTGAGTGAGGGTGTCTTGCCATCCGCCTTGAAAGAGGCAGTAGTGAGGCCCCTCCTCAAGAAGCCTGCTCTGGATCCGGCTGTTTCGGCTAACTATCGTCCGGTCTCCAACCTTCCCTTCTTGGCGAAGGTTGTTGAGAGTGTGGTGGCGCGACAGCTTCCTGGGTACCTGGATGAAGCTGTCTATCTGGATCCGCTCCAGTCCGGCTTCAGGCCTGGGCACAGCACGGAAACGGCATTGGTCGCATTGGTGGATGATCTCTGGAGGGCTCGGGATAGGGGTTGCTCCTCTATCCTGGTCCTGTTAGATCTCTCAGCGGCTTTTGATACCATCGACCATGGTATCCTGCTGCGCCGGTTGGAGGGGTTGGGAGTGGGGGGCACCGTCCTGCGGTGGTTCTCCTCCTATCTCTCCGACCGGTCTCAGTCGGTGTTGGCAGGGGGGCAGAGGTCGACCCCGAGGAGCCTTGTTTGTGGGGTGCCTCAGGGGTCGGTCCTCTCGCCCCTTCTGTTCAACATTTATGTGAAGCCGCTGGGTGAGATCATCCGTGGCTTTGGGGTGGAGTTCCATCAGTACGCTGATGACACTCAGCTGTACATCTCCACCCCAGGCCATCCCAACGATGCCCTTGAAGTGATGTCCCGGTGCCTGGAGGCCATGCGGATCTGGATGGGGAGTAACAGGCTTTGACTCAACCCTTCCAAGACCGAGTGGCTGTGGCTTCCGGCGTCCCAATATAGCCAGCTGGTGCCATCGCTGGCTATTGGGGCGAGTTATTGGCTCCCACGAATAGGGCTCGCAACTTGTGCGTCCTCCTGGATGCACGGCTGTCTTTAAAAGAGCATATGACGGCCGTGGCCAGGGGGGCTTTTTATCAGGTCCGCCTGATTCGCCAGTTGCGTCCCTTTCTGAATCAGGACTCCTTACACACAGTCACTCAGGCACTCGTCACTTGCCACCTGGACTACTGCAATGCTCTCTACATGGGGCTCCCCTTGAGGAGCACCCGGAGACTCCAATGCCCAGAGGTGTGTACAAATACCTATTCCAGGAGTGTTAAACTCACATCTCATGGCGGCATCATATGATGTATCGGGACTTTTTCCCCCTTCGCTAAAGCGGGCATGGGTGTGGCCAGCGCATGACGTATCTGGGCCACAGGCCAGGAGTTTGACAGCCATGACTTTCTTAAAATATTTAAAGTCTGCATTTTTTTCATTCTCAGTAGCTGCTTGGAAACCACTCCCTACCATCTTTGGAAACATAGGCATGCACAATGCCCTTTTGCTTTGCTGGAAAGAACCGAACAACACAAGCAAGACGTACAGCCATGCTGAAACAGCTGGATGCTCTTCTGAAGCAGCCTTGAGGCTGTAAAAAGATGTGGCTGCTTTAACTATTTTCTGAAAAAGCTCCTTCATATGCTCCCATATCTTCTGAAGCACCTCTTTGCAAGAAGTTGCAAATATGAAAATATTATGTATGTGTGTGTGTTTGTATGTATATATAAACTAAGAAGACAGGAATTATTCTTTGGTTAGAAATTGAATATCTCACATAATTATTATTTTCATGTCTGAAAAGAGGATGCTTATTTCTATACATACGTATTTCATATATAGCAGCAGCGATTTCTGCCAACTGCTTTGTTTTCATGAACACGCTACATTTACTAAACTGAAATTGAGAGGCTTTTTTCTTTTTCTTTTTCTTTTTTTCTTTTTACAAAATGACAGAAGTTTAGAGTTGGCTTGGTGGACTTTGTTCAAATCTGGGAACTGCCATGATACTTACTGAGACTGTCTTTCCTGCTAATTCAGAACATTGATAGCTGACATTTCTCAAAATATCCCAATACATAATATTTTTTAAAAGATAGAAAAGAACAACTTAATATGATGTTCAGGTTTTAAATAGGCAGGGACTCAAAACATAAATGAGGGAAATTAAAAATTGATGGAAGAATGGATAGCAGCATATGTTTTACCCTTGAACTTTATAACAGGAAGAGTTTTATATAGTACTTGTATACAGTAAGAGTTTCACAGACAATCTTTCCATTTTTAGCAAAAGCAAGTTGTTAATTTCAAACCAGGCAGAAGTTGGCAAAGCATTTTTCTAAGCACAAGTTTTTGGGTTCCTTACAGGGTTCAATATTTTTCCTTCCTAAGGAGAAATGTTCAAATTCTCCCTTAACAATATCTACTTGCAGCTCAGGATATGCAGATGCAGGGATGAAGATGTGGAATTCAATTTATCTTGCAAATTCTTGACATAGTGCTGATGTTTTATATCAGGACAATCACTTGTGGTGGTATACGTTATTTATTTCAAATTAATATGCATTCATACTGTAATAATTAGGAATTGTTTTTGCCTACATAGATTTCTTAGTTAGTTTTCCCCTCAAGACAGAAATGATACACTATTAGAGATAATGTCTCTTTTAACTCATTTTTCATTTTCTGAATAAGAAACTACCAATAATTCCACAGCATTTTATTAACTGATTAAGTGTTTTTGTGAAATGGGATGAGGGAGAATAACAAATTATTGAAAATTGTCCAGATACACTTAGGTGAGATTGGTGATGCAGAAATTTAGTAAATAAATACATACTTTCCAGTGGCAAGAAAAATCATAGCAACTAAGTTATTTCAAACCTAAAAATAGTAAGTTTTAACATTTTTCTGCATTCTTAAGTTCTTTCAGGCTACATGTTTTAACTTAGGTTTTGTCCATTTTGGGCCTTCCAAATGAGTTGATCTTCAGTTCCCATTGGGTTTGCTAATGAATGTAGCTACTAACATTAGTTTGGGGAAAGATAACATTTTAACAATTCATATAAAGAACATATGTGCTTCACTTCTAGAATTATCAAATAATAAATACTACAATGTAGTAGGACTCATTTTGGAGACTAATGTGAAGTTGCTCTTGAAAACTCTTCCAACTACTGTCTCACTGGACCATGAATATAGCAGAAGGTAATGGCTTTAGTACAATAGAAATGGAAGAGAAACTCCCATAGACGTACACTTTCCATTAATATGTTCTTACAATTAAGGAAATAACCAGAAAAGAAAAAAAGATTTCATCTCCAAATAAATCATGACCTATGTTATTTTTCAAAAATTATGTCACTTTTGCAAGATTGGAAATGATGCGAGAGTTTTCTATAGAGTTTGGGTTGGAATCTTTGTCTATTGTGTATTGTGAATGCACCAACCAGAATTTAGCTGCAGTCTACAAAATCTAGTCCTCTTCCCTCTGAAAAACTCATTTCTTTTCCCAAACTGTGTAGCTCCTATCCATAATTGTTCGTCCCAAATAGAATTCGGAAGCATTTCCTTTTGGAACTAACGCTAAACTGAATTTTTAATATTGTAGTATGGATATGCTTTAAGGGATGAAATGGGCAGTAAAATTCAAAAGCCCAATTTCTTTAACTAGTGCTAGATTTTCATTACTGCCAAACAGTGTGTATTATAACAGCATGGCTTAGCTAATATTCTCAAGAGCTATGCATAAAATAGATTTATATCAGTAGCCAATTCCTGGCACACTATCAGTGGTGAAATCTATTTTTTTTACTACTGGTTCTGTGGGCGTGGCTTGGTAGGGGTGGGGTGGCTTGGTGGGCATGGCTTGGTGGGCATGGCAGGGGAAGGATATTGCAAAATCTCCATTCCCACCCCACTCTGGGGCCAGCCAGAGGTGGTATTTGCTGGTTCTCTGAACTACTCAAAATTTCTGCTGCCGGTTCTCCGAACGGCTCAAAATTTCCGCTACTGGTTCTCCAGAACTTGTCAGAACCTGCTGGATTTCCCCCTTGCACATTATGTTGAACCTTTTGGCATCAGCATGTCCAAAATTTGGAAAATGCCTAACTCGACTCTCCTGGCTGTTATCCCCGCCCCTCCGCAAAAAAAAGAAAAAGAATTTTCTATTTTCTTCACATATAAGCCACCCCGAACAGCATCATTTGGTGGCTGCACCAAGGCCTGGGTCTCGACTTCAGCCCTAGTGCCACTTCTGCCACCCAAAAAGGCCTCCTTGCACAGTTTAATGCAATTACCCCGACAGCCCAGCACTCCCAGGATCTGGAGAGCATCATTTATCTTCAGGCCGTGTTCTCTTTCTGTTAATAGGCCCCTGTGACCTAACTGTGACTGCTCTGGGTTGCTCAAGGTCTTAATTCTTGAAGCAATGCTCTTCTGTGGCTTCTGCAGCCTCCAAAAATCACATAACAGGATGTACTTTTAAGAATAGTTATTGGGTACTGGTAAATATGGTGAAGACTTCTCTGCAAGGAATTGCGTAGCTCTAATATTTTCAGATCTTACCAGTTGTATACTCTGGCAATTTAACGTATACGGAATTAGGGGTTTATGGAATTACTAGCACTGATGATATTACCTAGTTAAGGTAATGAAATGTTTGCAAGAAAACAAGCCTCAGAGAGCACTAAGGACCCCTCATTTCAACCCTGAGCTACAAATATTCTCCTTTATTA